TGTCACGGTAAAAACTCTGAGAGTTCCCAGGTATGATGAACTGCCCCTAGCTATTGTCCGCGGTGTGGCTTCCATAGGCCCTGTCCCCTAGTTCTACATGGGCAAAACCCCAGGCTCTTCTGTGCTACACTCAAGACCCTCAGAGGGCTTTTTGGATCTACTAAGCCCAAATCACCCCATCACCTGTCAGGGTAAAAGGTTGAGAGTTCCCAGGTATGATAAACTTGGCTCTGCTTTGCCCATGCAAGAGCAAAGCAACAGGTCCAGGGGCAGCCAGTTATTGTCCACAATGTGGCTTCCACTGGACCTGTTGCAGTGTTCTCATGGGCAAAGCATCAGTTCCTCCAAGAAGGCTCCATTGTGCTACATCCGTCCTTGGAAATCTTCTTGGTTCTATCAGGCCCAAGTCCCCAAAACCTGTCATTGTAAGACTCTGAGACTTTCCAGGTATGATGCATTGCTAGCAGCTATTGTCCATGCAGTATTGAGGAATGTTGCATTCCTGAGCTCCCTACAATGGCTCTTCTGTGGACAAGTGCTCGTCACTCCATCCTCGGGCTGAATAAACGGTTACTGTGGAAACTTAGAGAAGACCATTCTTCTCAGCGGGTATCCAAGGAAGGGGCGGGCGGCGGGGGCTATATCAGTATCAATGGTTCATACATCTGTCAATTCAGGGGTCATAGGTCAGGGAGCGTGACCCTCATCTATGTTAATACCATCAGCCTACGCTCCCATTATGTCCCTGTCTAGTTTGTAATAAGCTTACTTAAAAGACCTCGCAGCCAGGACCTCGCACAGAGAATGACGTCAGCTATATTTAAATTCCACATCTGATCTGGTGACCTCAGCGTAGGGTCAGCTTAAGCTGGACAATAGAGAAGAGCGATTTTGAAGAAATTGATTTTGTTGCAAAATTTTGCCAAAGCGGAAATTCTGATTTGCACTAATTGAGCTGTTTTAGGTTTGATTTTAAACAAAAAAAACGTTTAAGGTTTTTTTGGCTCAAGAACAAGCCTGGGATAGGAGGCCGTGGCACATTTAGAAAACACCTTGACATTGCTTTTGACTCCAAAGAATTCCACAATAATGTAAATAATTAGCTGAAAATTTTGTCAAAATTTTGTGGAAATAAAATCTCTCATATTTTGTTCAGCCTTACTCTCAAGACTCATAGTAGCAAATTGAGGTTCACTTGTGTAGGGCTGGGTGAAGATGATGGTTCTGAAGCTTGCACCTTTACTAATGCCTGCCATGGCAGCTTCCATGTATCTATTATCACCAGTGGTCTTTAATGTAGACGTAAACCCTAATTAGATGCCAAAGCGCTATACTGTACATCAAACAATTAACATTTTTTCAATTCTTATTTTTATGTTTTGATTTTTTATTCTTTGCTACATCCCAGAGCTGACGACCTCCTGCAGCCTTTTTGCACCCACTTCCTGTCTTCATGCAAGCCAGAGATGGCCAGGGCAGTGACAACAGTAGTCCATGCCTGCGAAATGTGAGCTGAAATGGCTACTTGTAGTCTTGTTCGAAAGCCCAAGCAACGGCATGACCATTCAGGAGCATTATTAGAAGACGGGGCAGAGCGTTGTCACCCTATAAACAGCCTTTCTTAACCACGGTGCCTCCAAATTTTTACACAGATTCATAACTCTAATGGAAAGAAGGTTCCCCGTGTGAAAGGGGGACTCCTGATGTAAAGGGGGGCTATAATGTTAAAGGGGTAGATTGATGTGACAGGGATGGGACCCCGCCCCCCGCCCCCTAAAATCCATACCAGACCCACTATCTCGGATAATGGTCTGGTATGGATTTTAGGGGGACAACACATCATGTTTTACATTTATGTTTTTAGATTGGGGTGCCATGAAAAAAGGTTGAGAAACACCACCCTATAAACAGGAAGTACCTGAACATGCACCTCCATGGCGGGATCACCAAGCATTATTTTAATGAAAGACATCAGGTTTTTTAGACATCAGCTCTTATAGGCTTTGAGTGATTGGGTTCATATACACAACCTTAGGCGGTTGACGTGACGGGGGGAAAAAAGCATGCATGAGATTTTCCTTGCTAGCTCAGTGCGTTAGGGTACCATTGACAATGAATGGCAGTGCGGCACACCAACGCGAGTGACATCCAGTAGTGCGCACATTGCGGTAACGCTCATCTTATCGCAGCAGCTTGGTGTGAACAGGCCATTGGCGAATTTATTTGAAACTAGGATGGGTTGG